ATGAAAGTGCGTAGTATAGCACGATTTTCTGCTTCTATTTGGCGTAATATGGGACACACAGGCTGGCCTATGATAACTGCTGAAATGTTTGCGGGGCAAATCTCAGGTCAGTCTGAGCGCTCAAGGTAGGCCTACTCACAGTGCAGCCGTACACCTGCAGGCACCACTGACTCGGACGGTTGTCGTGGTAATAAATACCGTAAACAGCAACCGTTCGCATGTCAGCGCTTAATGCGCATATCCTATATGAAAAGCATTTTAGGGGGCCCTTGGCTTTTGGGGGCCCAAGGCGGTCGCCTACCTTTGCCTAATGGGTAAGTCCGCCCCTGCACTCAGTTGCATCCTTCAGAAGAATGACCTCATTCTTCCCCAAGCTGTATCTGAACTTAGGAAGACCGTTGCAGCATTAGAGGCCATGAAGGGAAGACTTAAGCAAAGTGGCATGCTTTCCAAGTTTCTGGCTTGTCTTCAAGGGCAAGAAAAGGATAAGGTCACATTTCAGGTTTGTTAGGATTAGAGATAGTGAGCCTACTACTACTACTTAATATTTAAGTAAGGCACAAGATTAGGAACAATACCTGTTATTTTTTATTTTTCTAAACATTGTGATGTTTATATTCTCAGACAAATACACTGCATTGTTCTAACAACAGAATTTAATGTAAACGTAATACTTATTATTTTTTTTCTTTCAGGGTGTATCACTTGTTGGTGACATGTCAGGAATGATCCAGCCTGGTGGCCTAGGCCAGTGTTTCCCAACCTTTTTTTAGTCGTGGCACCATGGCATCATATCCTCCTGACTACCAGGAAAAAACAGTTTTGTGAATTTAGTATTTTGTCATGTCAAGGACCTGAATTGAGATATTCACATAGATTCAACCTGCCACAGGAGCTGCTGAAACAGTTCTACTCTGCCATCGACTCTGTCCTGTGTATATCCATAACTGTCTGGTTTGGTTCAGCTACCAAATCAGACATTAGGAGACTACAACGGACAGTCCGGACTGCTGAGAAGATTATTGGTGCCTTCAACCTTCAAGAACTTCACACCTCCCTTCAAGAACTTCACACCTCCAGAGGGAGAAAAGGGGCTAAAAAAAAAAAAGTCACACCCCTCACATGGCATATTTATTGTGGCTTGTAAAATAATGTACAATGGGCTCTGCAAATGGGGGGTGGGCCTCTATCAAGGTAGTCTGGTGGGTTGATCTGTCATATACAGTTACATGTCTTTTTCAGTTTGTTTACTCTTACTGATGTCAGAAAATGTCAGTGATCTCAACTCTGAGGACCAATTAGAAAATGCTGACATAATCAGATGTTTATTATAAACAGGAAACAGACAGTGTTGTCAAGCGGTGATATTTATTTACAGTGTGTGAGTCTGGACCATACTAGCCCCAAACACTGAAAGAACATGAAACATATATACAAACTAACAACATGTTTAAATGTTAAAAATGATCAAACAAATAGAACTCAGACAAATAAACAATAAGAGACTGTTATTATACTACTATATAAGTATATACTTAGCCAGAAAATGAAGACGTTCTACTAGATTATGGCAGTGAGCAGGTGGATGTTCTTCTAAATCATTTTCAAGAAGTACTGCAAAGGTGAGATGTTACCCCATTACATTGTAGATTTAGATAGATGGATCATTAGATGTTTCTGCATATCATCATTTATAACTGTGCTTTGTTTGGGTTAGAGGTGGATGCCAGACAGACAACGTTCAAGGTGAGTGGAGAAGTCTGAAGACACTTGTAAGACAAACATTTCAAGACAAGTCCTACAGCAGCTTGTGGCAAACTTTGTCCACCAAAGAGCCATACAATGTTGACTACAAGGTAAATGTACACTTTTTACCATTTTCTACAGTACTTTAGGTAATAGTTTGCCTAATCTGAATTATTTATTTTTAATCAGTATAGTTGTTTGTTTCATTTCCAGAACATACTGCACCTTGTCGAGATGATGCTGATTCTACCTATATCAGCTGCACAGTGTGAGAGAGGATTCTCAGCACAGCACCGCATCAAAAACTCCACTCGAAGCAGTCTGCACGTATCCACCACGGAGGATCTTATTCGAATCAGCACTGAGGGACCTTCTCTGGAGAGATTTGATCCAAGCAAATGCGCAGAGAAGTGGCTGTCTTCAAGTAAACGTTCAAGAAAACCACACTACAAAGCCTGGCCAGCTGAAATATGCAGCATCTGATTGCTGTTCACTGTGTGGCAGGAACATTAATTGTGTTCAGCAGTGCAGATGTCAATAAAGCTTTTAAAAGGACAGTTCACCCAAAAATTAAAAATTCTGTTATCATTTGCTCACTCTCTTGTAATTCCAATACCTTAAGTCTTTCTTTCATCTTCAGAACTCACTTGAAGGTATTTTTAATATTATGTGTATATAATGACATTAGGGTGGGTAAATGATGACAGAATTTTTATTTGTTGGTGAACTGTTGTTTTAAATATATTTGAGCACTACACTTCAACGTCTGTACATTGTGTATTTGTGCATATGAAATTTATGCATGATTTTTTTGTGTTTTGAGGACAGCCTGTCTGTTTTTCTGAAACTGAAAATATTAAATGTTTATCTGAAGCTATGTTTCAGATTTTTTTTTCTCATGCTCTCCATACTTGTGTATGTTATGTGGCACATTAATATTGCGTTGTTTAAGGGGAAAAAAACAGAACACAGAAACACAGGGGAGTCCTACAGCAGCTTGTGGCAAACTTTGTCCACCAAAGAGCCATACAATGTTGACTACAAGGTAAATGTACACTTTTTACCATTTTCTACAGTACTTTAGGTAATAGTTTGCCTAATCTGAATTATTTATTTTTAATCAGTATAGTTGTTTGTTTCATTTCCAGAACATACTGCACCTTGTCGAGATGATGCTGATTCTACCTATATCAGCTGCACAGTGTGAGAGAGGATTCTCAGCACAGCACCGCATCAAAAACTCCACTCGAAGCAGTCTGCACGTATCCACCACGGAGGATCTTATTCGAATCAGCACTGAGGGACCTTCTCTGGAGAGATTTGATCCAAGCAAATGCGCAGAGAAGTGGCTGTCTTCAAGTAAACGTTCAAGAAAACCACACTACAAAGCCTGGCCAGCTGAAATATGCAGCATCTGATTGCTGTTCACTGTGTGGCAGGAACATTAATTGTGTTCAGCAGTGCAGATGTCAATAAAGCTTTTAAAAGGACAGTTCACCCAAAAATTAAAAATTCTGTTATCATTTGCTCACTCTCTTGTAATTCCAATACCTTAAGTCTTTCTTTCATCTTCAGAACTCACTTGAAGGTTTTTTTTTAATATTATGTGTATGTAATGACATTAGGGTGGGTAAATGATGACAGAATTTTTATTTGTTGGTGAACTGTTGTTTTAAATATATTTGAGCACTACACTTCAACGTCTGTACATTGTGTATTTGTGCATATGAAATTTATGCATGATTTTTTTGTGTTTTGAGGACAGCCTGTCTGTTTTTCTGAAACTGAAAATATTAAATGTTTATCTGAAGCTATGTTTCAGATTTTTTTTTCTCATGCTCTCCATACTTGTGTATGTTATGTGGCACATTAATATTGCGTTGTTTAAGGGGAAAAAAACAGAACACAGAAACACAGAAAATTGTCTGTGCTCCTAAATTTTTGACTGTGCTCCTAAATTTTTTTGATTAGGAGCACAAGTAATAAAACATAAAATTAAAATTAATCCTAATAAAAAAAAGTTACCGTAGAGCCCTGTTCTTAAACACATCTGAAACAAAGTAATCAAGGTCTTTAGATTCACTAGAAACTTCCAAGTGCATCAAAGCTGGTTGGAGCTAAACACTGGCCCACCAGAAGCAAGATTGGACATCCCTGGTTTAAATGCTCCACTTACAATTATAATATTGGTGCCAGCATCCTCTCTCTCTCAGCATCCTCTTTTACATATTTTAAATATTGTTTATTGGTACTTGCCTCTAGCACAGTCTAGTACAATGATGGCAACTGTTCGAATCATGTCTGAGATGCATTTACACATAAATATTGTGATATACACTTTATGTATAACAGCCTGTAATGGCACCTGTCTTCTAACCATCATGGAAACTCATAAATGGTTGATTTGAAACACTCTACAGCGCCACACACCACACAAATAGTGCTTCTCAAAATCAGTACACAACTGATTTCAATAGTGCATGATGCCAGCATCTTGCTCCGCTAATAGTGATATTCTACTAAGCATAAAATGCACACCACACTTAATATTGCATTACATATTTGAGTATTGAGACTTTTCAGTGTTGAATGAAATGTTTATTTATGATTAATATTTCTCCTGCTTTGTTCACCATCTCGAAATAATTTGTAGCAATACATTCTGGGACTTCCTACTCTTTTGAAGGATACATATGTTGCCGTCTACTAAATCAAACCCTTAAGCATTATGAATGACAGTCTGTAAAAATGTCAGTCAAAGAAGATGCTGGCTGAAATATTTTAAGAGTAAGAATGTGCTTTACTGACATTTTAAACCAGCGATAAAAGAAAGCATAGATAAGGGGATTCAAACCCGAGTTAACATACAAGGTCCAGGTTAGCAATGTCATTGTAGTGGAAGAGATTGCTGTGGATTCTGTTAAAGAACATATATAGAACGGAATCCCACAGAGCAAATAAACGGCCACAATGATTCCTAAAGTCAGAGCAGCTTTGCTCTCAGATTTTCTCCTCACTGAAACTTCCATTACACATTTACCACCTTTAAGAGAGTTCAAAACTTTTACTTGCTGTTGTGCGACATAAAAAATCTTCAAATATACAGAGATGATCACAATACATGGCAATAGGAAGGAAAAGGTCAAATCTGTGAATCTCCAAACAGGAGTAATCAAAACAATACACTGGCCGTAACAAACATCTGGTCTGTGTGAGGTATTAAAATATCCATTACTAATTACAAAGGCTATATTGTAAAGTGAACAACAACACCAGGAGACACAGATGCTTATTACAGTTTTAGTTGTGGTAATTTTCTGGGGATACTGTAAAGGGTGACACACAGCCACATAACGATCAACAGCAATTAAAACCAAATTACTAAGAGATGTAGAAAGGAGCAGCCCAAGAGTAATTACGAAGAGTCCACAGTAAGTGTCTCCAAAGTACCAACATGTCTCAATCAGATTTATGGCATCTACAGGCATTATAATAAGTCCAATAAGCAAGTCAGCTACAGCCAGAGAGAGAATGATCAGGTTGGTTGGAGTGTGAAGCTTCTTGAAGTGGGAGATGGAGATGATCACCAGCAGGTTCAGAAACACAGTGCATGCTGACAGCAATGAAAAACACACATACATGATATTGTGTTCATGTCTGGAGCGCTTTCCCTTGATACATGAAGAGTTGATGGCAGGAAAGCAGTACTGAGTCTCATGATCCTCTATACTCTGAAAGGCCATGAGTGAGTCTCCTCCTGTTAGGACTTTGTTCTGCTCTCCTTACTGTACTTTCATTTATACAGTGTCTGGATCAGACTGACCAACCCATCTACCGCCCACTCTGATGTTGCATGACATAATTGATTACATCACACAGTACTGCAATAGCTTGAAGTTGTCTACACTGGACACATCAAAGCAACCGTTGCAAATTATTTGTCTTTCAAGTCAAAAGTACTGCAAGTGTGTGGAGTACATCAAAAGTAGAGCAAGGCATCAGTTTACTGTCATGGACTTGTCACGTCACATCTATTGTAGACATTGATATTGGCTTTTGCTGCACTACTTACATTTCACATTGGTCTGTAGAAAAACAGCAACAGGCTGAATGAAAATTCTAATTCACTATCTGAGAGTAGATTATACTTTTGGAACAGCAGAAAAAGAACTCTTTTGCAAAAAAATAGAACTGGAAATTTTTATATTTATATTAGTGCTGTCAAAATTAGCATGTTAACGCAGGCAATTAATTTTTCCAGTTTAACGGCCTTAAAAAATGTAATGCAGTTAACGCAGGGGCAGAGCTAGTGTTAACCACCACACTCACAACTGCTGCCTCGGTCTCATTTTTCTTGACAAGAATTGCATTTATTTAGATGCAGAACGTCTTTACGACCACAATCATACAGGAGACTTTGCACTGTCTCCCTCATCTAACACACCCGATTGAGTTGCGTCAGACCTGAAGTGGGCCAGAAAAAGTAAAGAGTTGTGAGAAAATATGATGTGTGTCCAGCAGTGGCAGCTCTAAAAGTAACAGCAGCCAAATAACCTAATAACCCAGCTGCTGTGATGTCTGTTAATCAAAGAACAAAAGAAAAAGAGGAAATCAATAACTTTTGTAGCTTTAAGTAGAGGTCTGCGTGGACTATTTTTTTAGTCCTGCTCCCGCAAGGTTATATTCCGCACCCACCCGCTCCCTCTATATATTCACTCTTTGTTCACCCGCTGTCCGCGTGGAATAATTTTCTTCCCGACCCGGCCATTCCCGCTAAATTTAGATCTCGTTTCCAGAATCTCACATTTAAATTTCCGCTACTGAAAGAAAGAGAGATAGGCTGACAAATAAAAGTGTAGTCTGCACAAAATTGTGTCATTTTATTAGTCTTGTCAAGAGTCTTGAATTTATTGACTTTGACTTGAATTTATATAAATTATATTAAGACACAATTAATTTAATATTTTATGCAACACAGTAGGGGAAAAAAAAGTGTCAGAGAAAATAAAAATGTTGTACAAAAATTGTATTTATTATTTTTATTCGTCTTGTCAGGATACAATTTGTTTAACATTTACAACACAATAGCAAAAAAGTTTCGCAGAGAGAAAAAAATAATAATGTAGGTTGTACAAAAATAGCCTATTAGCTTTTTTTTTTCGTCTTGTCAAAATACTAAATCATTTTCCCGGTGGGCCGACAGAATGTTTTTTTGTTTTTTTTATACTATACCGAGTACTATCACGCAGGGACAGCGAGCAGCCAGTGGCCCATTAGTTTGTCTCCTGTTTTGACAGTGTAAACATCCAATCACAATGTGCTATAGACGGAGCAATGAAGTAGAGACCTGGCGGGATGGATTTTTCAGTCCCGCTCCCGCAGAAAAATACCTTATCTGGGCCCGCGACATTCATGTTTTGTCCCGCTCCCGCCCGCATAAAAGTAATCTACACTGTAACTGATTTTTGTAATTTGAACAGTATTTTACTGTAATATGTACAGTAAGATACTGTAAAATGTGTATACAGTATTTTACTGTAAACAGCAAAGGATTATGGGA